ATATGAACAAAACCAAAATTAAAAATTAAATTACATGAATGGTCCCTGTGGTTTGGGGGAATTTGTGGTTTTGGTCGCTAATATATATTTTTAACTTAAATGGTCCCTACTGTTTATTTTTGTTGCGCGTTTGGTTCCCGTCTTACCTAAAAATACTATTGTGCCCTTATTAATTTATTTTTTAAATTAATTTTATTATCTATGTATTTATTTTTTACATATTTAAAAAAATTAATAGACCACACATATTTGTATCTCCTCGGATGATCTCTACTGTTTATTTTTAATTAAATTTTTTTTTAACTCGGATGATCCTTACTGTTATTTTTGTTACGCGTTTGATGTCTGTGTTATCTAAAAATAGTATTTTTCCCTTATTAATTTTTTTAATTAATTTTCTTATTTATGTATTTATTTTTTATAAAAAAAATTAATATACCCCACATATATGTATCTCATCACCGTAAACCTGAAACCACATTTGAGAAAGTTAATTTGAGTCTTACCATTCACCATCTCATCTCTGATCCTCCCAATCTTCTATTTCTTTTCCATCTTTAGTAACATCGACGTCTTCACCGTCTTTTTTTTTTGGTACTTCAACTCTGACGAACCAACACCATAACCTACTGTCTCTTCATCTTTAGTGGGTTGTGATGTTGATTCGACGGAGTTGAAGGAACGAAAAAAGAAGTGATGATGAAGACGTCGATATCACTAAAGATGAAAAATAAATAGAAGTTGAGAATGATGAAAGATGGGATGGTGAGGAGATACAGATATGTGAGGTCTACTAATTTTTCTTAAACATATAAAGCATAAGTACATAAACAAGAAAACTAATTAAAAAAAATTAATAAGGGGACAATAGTCTTTTTAGGTAAGACATAGACCAAGTTCGTAACAAAATTAAATAGTAGGGATCATCCGTGTTAAAAAAAATTAAATTAATTAAAAAATAAATAGTAGGGATCATCCGAGGAGATACAAATATGTGTGGTCTATTAGTTTTTATAAATATATAAAAAATAAATACATAGATAAGAAAATTAATTAAAAAAATAAATTAATAAGGGCACAATAGTATTTTTAGGTAAGACGGGGACCAAACGCGCAACAAAAATAAACAATAGGGACCATTTAAGTTAAAAAAATAAGTTAGCGACCAAAACTACAAATTCCCCCAAACCACAGGGACCATTCATGTAATTTAATTTTTACTTTTCGTTTTGTTCATATTTGGGTAACTATTTTTTTTGTACACATCTAGGTAACAAACTTGTTGAAATCGTTCACATCTAGGATTTAACCTGCTATAGCAGGTCATAATGGTCATATGTGAACACTTCAAAAAAGTTTGTTACCTACATATGTACAAAAAAAAGATAGTTACCCAGATGTGAACAGACCGAAAAGTTAATTACCTTGATAAGTTATATTCCCTTTACTTTTTTATTTGTACTTTTTTTTAATATGACGACAATGTATTGTATATTGTACTGACAATTTTTGAATGATTACACACTGCATTGGTTTGTGTAATTGGCTTCGAGTAGCTTTTGCACAAACCATTACAACACACTAACACCCTATGACATGCAGTTTCATGTAGCATTTGCCCTTTAAACTTAGGGATAATGACTTAGGAGAGTAATAAGGTTTTCAGCTTATCCGTATTAGGTCACTAAGGTTTTTTTTGTGCGTATTAGACCAATATGGTTGTCATTACCGTTTAGAAATATTCATTTTTACCGGGTAAAAGTGACTATTTCTAAACGGTAATGACAACCATATTGGTCTAATACGCACAAAAAAAAAACTTTAGTGACCTAATACGGACAAACTGGAAACCTTATTACCCTCCTAAGTCATTAACCCTAATTATTTAGAAAATATGCTTACTAATCAATGTGACTGATTTGTTTGACTGAAAATAATTGATTCCATTTAAACTTATCTTACAACCCTTCCAAAACTTCTAAATCCAGAAACTCATATGATTGATGATCTTCATTACATAAATATGCAACATTTTATCAATAACTTCTTTTTTGTCATATAAATGTTTACATGAACACATCCATATGTACAAAAACAAAATCTCACTTTGATACCTCTCATCAATGTCTACATTTGATAACGAATGGAAATGTAAAACCAACAGGGACTTGTATAGGATGTCTATTATCAATTATTTTATAAAAGCAAAACCACAACATGAACTAAGAAACTGAAGTTGCAAAATGAATAAAAAAATCAGCACATAAACAAATACATGCATACTATATACAACACATAAATAGAAGTTTATAAAGTATGAAACTTAACGACAGGAAAAGTAAAAAACTTAAAGGAGACTTTATAGAAAGAAAGATCACCTTTAATTGCCACAAATGGTTGAAGACATCAACAAGAAGATCAATTTGACCATAGAATCCACATGTTGTCTCGATTTGTGTGTGTCATCCTTGCGCAGGGGCCATGCTAATCTTCTCTGTATCGTTCCAATTTTATCGGATGTCCCCAAAGGGACGACTATAGATGAAGAGCTTCGCCATATAGAGGAGTAGCAGGTTATATGCGACGACACGAGTTCTAAACGAAGTAGTTTACTGATGATGGTCATATATTCTCAATGTCTTTAAAATTAGGGTTAATGTCTTAGGAGGGTAATAAGGTTTCCAGTTTGTCCGTATTAGGTCACTAAGGTTTTTTTTGTGCGTATTATACCAATATAGTTGTTATTAACGTTTAGAAATAGTCCTTTTTACCCATTAAAACCGGTAAAATGACTATTTCTAAACAGTAATAACAACCATATTGGTCTAATACGTACAAAAAAAAACCTTAGTGACTTTATACAGACAAACTGAAAACCTTATTACCTCTTAAGTCATTATCCCTTAAACTTATTGCTAAAAACGTAATCAATTAAAACCAATCAAAAGTAATTTAGGTTTTTACAAATTTAATTTAATATGCATATATAGGAGGATATAAATGAGAAATTAATAAAATAAATATGAAATTTTCGTGTAAATGAAAGACAATAAAAATAAATAAACAAATACCTTATTAAAACTTCAATCAATATGATCAAAAGAATGATAACTTAGATTCATAAGTTTTAATATTTTATACACAAATTTTTATAACTTCGTTTATTTGTATGATTCTCTTTATATTTCATAGTTTTAATGGAGTTTAAATATACAAAAGCAAGAATGCATGCAGATCAACAATAGCATAATATAAAGGTTCAAATTATAATTTTTTGTATTTTCCAATCTTTATTTTTAGTTATAATACGATTTAACTCTCTACAAACAAAGAGATGATAACAAGTATAAATTATTTCCGTTGTAGTTTTCATCAAACTATCTTGCCATCATGTTCTTTACTTTTCATTCTTAAGCACTATAGTTTTTTAAAGCACTTGAACTGCATATTAATATTAAAATACATAACAGACGCATATTACACTACTTTACTTGATGTAAATCATATATACTCTTCTCTACAGCTTTGTGTTGATGCTCTTCCTGCTTTGTCAAACTTCAAAAAGCATTTTATCCTACAACAAAGCAAAACATATCTGAAAGATAAGAAGCAAAAAATCAGAACAAACTGAAAGTAGAAGAAAGAGAATAATACATCCAGAGTCCTGTCAAAAACAAATCAGCAAATGTTAACATCTCAGTTTTCAAAATAATGCAACAATATTCAAAATCCAAGTTACAAATGATATAGATCCAAATATAAAATCATAACTACAAAAGGAGGAGCATATCAAGAAGCAGAAAGAAAAAAAAAACGATGTCCTTTTTTAAAGTCTTGCTTCGCAAATCAAGGTGCATATCCACGTAAATAGAACATGCTGATGAGGGTGAATGAGCGATGAAGTATATGCTTCGTGATTGGTTTAAAAGATTTCACAAAGATCACTATTTTATACCATTAGATGCATTAGATATAAAATTAATAAGACTTTGGTCTTAAAACTTTTAAGTTTATTATAAAGTAGTATAGATATATATTAAACTTGGAACAATACATAGTTATTTCACATACTAGATGTGACTAATAAAAAGTTATTTATTTTTATTCTTTAAAAAATGTATTAATTTAGTTAATAAAAACTATCAATTTTAGGTATTCGAAACATTGAAAGAAGACAAGAATATGGCAGTAAGGGATTCTATATATCTTTTGGAATGTGTGTATTTTTTTTTTTTAAATCTAGAAGATAAAAAAACTAAGTTAGGCTATGCTATAAAATAATTTTTGAAAGGAAAAAAGTACTTAAAAGGGTAAATTCTACTCACTCATACTACATTTCAAAATTTTAGTTTTATTTAGTTTCAACTAAATTATAAACTATGGGTTTATATGATATATTTTTTCCTCTTTTGTTGTCTAAAACCCTCATTTCTCCCTCTTTTTTCTTTCTTTTGCCAAGAACACCACGCCTTAATACCCAAATCTTCATAGACAAAACATTAAACTTTTAAGTGGAATCTATGTGTTATCGGTATAAAAAAAAAACTCACCACAACGTGGAACCTAAATATGTAATTATGTTTGTTATTTCAAAAGGAAAAATTGACGTGGCTTGCAATAATATCCATGTGGCAGTTTGAAAGAATCTTGAAAAAATCGATGTAGGTGGTTTTATATGTGAGACTTTGATGGTTTTATATGTTAAAAGATAACTATTCGTCTAGAACCATATAATATACTTTGCATAACATTTTTTTATAAGATATAGATCACATATATACATGGATTTGTAATATATACACTTTGTTAATAAAAATATATTCAAAAGAATAATAAGTAATAAAAAAGTTTTTATTAATATGCTAAAGTTAATGGATAAAAAGTTCACATTATTATATATGTTTCTAAGTTTTATTTCAAACAAATATCATTTTCTTTGGTTCTCCATTAATGTAGGTATAATTTGACATCATCAATTCTTAATAATACTCGGCAAATAATTTGCTAGTCCATCCATATTTCTTCAAATTACATGCATGATTCATTATTTATAGCATGTATCTCTTATCAATCAAACACAAGAAGTATTTTTGTTTTCCATTTCTCTGTCAGGAACCATGAATCGATCGGCAAATGTGTTGATCTTTATTTCTTTCTTCTTTTTATCATTCACCGGAAATTTAAATCTCGTTGATGCCAGTGATACAGCCTCAGTTATATTGAATTCAGGAAATTTTGAACAATTGGTTATGCAAAGTAAAGACGTTTGGTTTGTCTTGTTCGGAAATCCCCGGTAATAATTTATTCCACATATACTTATTCTTGTTTACTTTATCATATTCAATTTTAAACCTATATATATATATATATATATATATATATATATATATATATATATATATATATATATTCTTTCAGGTGTCCAAATGTTAAACGACTTAGACCTGAGTGGGAAAAAGCTTCAAAGGCTTTGGAAGGAAAGGTCAAGTTTGGTGAAATTGACTGTGATGTGGAAAAAGTATTCTTCATTATTTTTTATAATTTAAACTAATATTATTTTATATAATTGTTTACTAATCGATTACAATTTTTCAGGATATACAATCAAGGTTTGGAGTATTTAGGTTCCCGACTGTTTTTGCATTTGGTCCAGATAAAAGTGCAGCTCCCACCAAAATAACTTTATATATTGAAGGAACTGCAGCCGCACTTGAAAAGGATGGTCTGTCTTACTATGAGAAAGCACAGGGGACTAAAATGGATTTTTGAGTAGAGGATTGTATTGGAATAAGATTTGTTTGACTTGTTATCAAAACAATAATGGCACCTTTAACCTTGGTGTAAAAAGTTAATAAAGAATAATTTTAATTTTATGGTTTGTTAATATTTACTTTCCAAATCATTAACATATTTAAAGCATCATCTCCAATAGACTTTTCACTATTCACTAATCAATAACCACTTAAAACATCCAATATCATTAGAGCATATAACTTAATTTTTAAAAAAAAAAAAAAACAAAACAAAATAAAAAATTGTTACCACTTAATCACTTAATACTCTTCAATCACTTAATTATCCACCGTGATATAATCTTTACTTTCATCTATTCAAAATATTTTCATTTTATTCCCCAAAATTAGATTTTATATTTAATTCGTTAACTAATTAATCTAATTTATTAAATATTAAAAAATAAATTTTATATTTTTATAACAATATAGTTTATACAAACAGCAATACCAAATGTAAGTGTGTTTAAAGATAGAGAAGTGACTATAACATTTTTCAAACAAATTAGGTAAATATTTAATTATTAAAAAAACTTATGTTTTATTATTATTACCAAACACAGACAGTCGATAACCGCTTTAAAGATCTCAACCGTTCGTTACTTCAAACTTTCAATCACAACCCTTTAAATTCCATATTTGCAGGTATTTGTGATTATGTCAGGGCTTTCTTTTTGCCTCCGGTAGCTCCCCAATCTTCGGTTCCCTTGGCCATGTATCCACTTTCCTACCGATGGTTCCCTATTTCCCCTAACCAACCACCGTTATCTCACAAAACACATTTATGGTTTCTTCTTGGCTCCCACGACCGCCTGTGATGAAACTACATAACCCACAAAATCGTACGATTAGCAGCTCTTCTTCTTCTTCTTTATGTATTCACCCAACACAACTCCACTCTCTATAATCGGTCTTTTCAAGAACTGTAAATCAGTTTATTGATGGTTCTCATTTAAATACGTCGTCTCCGGATTCATTCACCCACAATCAGCCCCTATTTTCAACCACCCGCGATAAGGAGTTTTCTACCTTCTAAATCGGTAATCGACCACCCACAATCTACAGTTCCGACCTATATAATGTTCAGATTATGTTCAATGTTTCAATGTTTCAATCAATTCCTTCAATTGCTTGATTTGATTCCTTCAATTAGAGAAATTATAGATAATTTCTATAATTTATTTTCTATATAAGGGTCAAACCTGCTAGCATAGAAAAAATCTTAAATGTAGGGACTGTTTTTGTAAAAAATTTACCTTTCTATAAATTACAAAATTATAGGGACCAATATGTTATTATTGAAAACATTTTATATAAGGACTAAATATGCCAATATTAAAAATATTTTTGGCAAAAATCTAAGATACATAAAGCTTACTGATTATTTGGACAAAGTTATAGGGAATAAATATTTCAATATTGAAAATATTATATATAAGTCAACATTAAAAATATTTGTGTCAAAAATGTAAAAAGCACAAAGTATACTAATCTACAAAATTATAGAGACTAAATGTGTTAATATCTAAAACATTATATACAAGGATTAAATATGTCAATATCAAAAACACTTGCACAATAATCTAAAAGACAAAGTATACTATTTATTTCTCATTCTCTTTTAGATATACAAGGATTAATTATAGAGACTAAATGTGTTAATATCTAAAACATTATATACAAGGATTAAATATGTCACCATCAAACCCATGATTCGCTTTCTTCTATTACTATGTTTTTGTATCCATGATTTTTTTCACTAGGTTTTAATTTTTGTATTGTTTTTTTAATTTGTTTCATTGCATTTATTTTGAAGCTAGGTTTTCCCAATTTTGTGTAATTCACATCCATCTTCTTGTTGTTTCTTCTCCGATCAGGTGTGATTGATCTCAGAAGACAAAATACATATACAAAGTACAAGCTATGTCTGATATTTCAAGGTTAGTCTTCTCTCATATTGCAAGGTCAGTTTTGTCTCTATCATATTAGAAAGTACAGCCTACATGTATGGATTTACTTCAACTAACTTCACTACATAAGTAGAGATGTCATTGTTTTTTCTTATTATTTTGTGTGAATTCTTGCTTCACCTGTTTGCTGTTAAATGTTAGATGGATGCTCTTCTTAGTTTTTTTTTTCAAGAAAAATGAGGATATAAGCTATCGTTTTGTCTTTTCATATATGTATGGCCCTGTGTTGTGTTGGTTTATCAGTGGATTGCAGGGTGTATCTAATTATAATTTTGCTTTCATTTGGTTATGCATCCATTACGATTTGGTAACTCTAGGGCTCTAACATGAAGTGGTGTTTGATTGTTTGATTGCCATTTTTGCATCAGTAATGGTCAAAATACCAATTTACCCCTTTTTCGGATGTGTATTTGCTTACCACTTTTGTTTTAGTTTATTTTTAGGTGAACCAAATTGTTTACTTCATGGACATGATGTGCCTGCTTATGATATTAAGTTCTATGGTGATTGTAAAGGATTTTTCAATATAGTGAAGCGACCCTTAATAAAGTCAAAATGGCAAAACCACTTGTGACATCCCCAAAATCTCGGCCAGAAAAGAGCGGTTTTATTTATGCTTTTTAAACATTTTCAGAGTAAATCCTTTTAATTTTAAAAGAGATGCAGAATTTGTTGCCAAAAACAAAACATGATAAAATAGATTTTTATCAAAACATTTCATAAAGAAATATAATTTCATTTCATAGTCAAAAATCGGGATGTCATGTTCCGATACAGGCAATAAAGCATAAACGATAACATTACAAGTCATTCAACAAATATTTACATATACAGACTTGTAAACAAAATAACTTGATGATTCATCCATCTTATGCCCTTGCACCACTTCCTGTAATACAAATAAACTGAGTGGGTCAGGCTTGAGGGCCTGGTGAGCATATAGGGTTTTCAACCCACAATAAATAATTATATTTAATTTCAACAATCAACAATAAACCCGATTACCCATTCCCGTTATCCTCACTTTACATCCCTAAAAAAATAACATCTATTATAAGGAACCTAATTCAGGATTTTCATCGGGACGGACATTACTGCAGAGGGGTTTCCTCAACAATAAGTGTCCTAAAGGCAACCATGTGGGAGATAGAGTACACCGGTGAACACATCGTTCACAACACCTACGGGTTATGAGCCTGCTAGCGTTCCACAGGACTATCTAGAATAGTCTGTGGTCGTCATCCATACTCTGCTGAATGACTAGAATAACACCAACAACGAGGCCTCTCATCAATTTATTTCATTGCACACCAACTGTCTACCCATGTTCTACCAAACATATTAGTAGATAAAAATATACATGTTTTATACATAATTTTTAAAAGAAAAATTGTATAGCATGCTCTTTCAATACTCCATTCAAATAGAAAGTAATACGTAAACACATAACAAGAAATTTCAAGGAGAGTCATATAAGTCTATGTATTAGAAGGTAATAATAATACCCTCACACAACCCATATTCTTAAATACATTCAACGATTACTTGTATAATATCGTGTATTGAAAGGGACTGTACACTCACTTGATCAGAAGATGATCGGATAGCACTACGGCTTTCAGAAGTAGTGTTTCTCCGTGGATCTGGAAGATCTTCACAAAAATCGGGCTCTTCGCGGGCAGGGCTTCGGCTTGGTAATCTCACTTCTCGGGATCCTCGGGACTTTGGAACTTGCTTCGGGACTCGGGAATGATACCGGGGCTTCGGGATATGATTGACACGCAAATCGAGGCAAAAAATAGAGAGAAGAAAGAGTTTGAACAAGAGAAAATGGCTGATCTCGGTTTCCGCCACTACAACTTTATCTATAGATATCGACTTTATCTAATATTTCATTTTGACGCTTATTTTTATTCTTAATTCAATTAAATTATAATAATTAAGAAAACACATAAATCACATAAATCACATAATTCACAAATAATACATTTTTATTATTTCAAATTGGGTTACAAAGGTTAACGTAGACTATTACATTGCTAAAAATGGCAAGTCCAGAAACACATTCGTTACACCACTTAACTATACAAATGCTTTAATTTGCATCACCAGACCAGACTAAATCTCCTGTGAGTCTAATCCCTTCTTGTTTTTGCATGCTATTCACAATCATTATATAGTCCATTTTCATTTTGTTTTTTTATTATATGCGTATGTGAACTCTTTTACTTTAAATCTTTATGTGAATTTTACTTGATTTTGTAGAGATGAGTGTTCCTTCTGCTGCAAACTCTAGATTATTACCACTTCCTCATGAAGATACAAACTTTTATGACAGGAGTGCAGATTGTCCAACATGGCCTGATAAGTCGAACTGATGATGATAAGTCAAGTATGAGAGCATTGACTCCAACAAAGAAAAGATGTTGAACTGGATGAAGAAAAAGGGCAATTTTTCTTGCAAATATGTGGCTTTCCCTATTATTTAGTGGCAAGTGATTCTTTAAAATCATCGTGAAGGCTTAAGATCAAAATTGAGAAGTCCATGGATTTTGTTGTTGGATTCATTCTCCATCAACTAACTAGAATATGTGATAAGAAAGTAATGTTTCATTTATATTCATCTGTCCTTTTATGCTTTTAGAGTTTGTTTGATTCATGAATTATAGCAGAATTGTAATATGAGATTCCATTCCATTGCATGTTTGGTTGCAATAACTCTATTTCGTTTATACAAAATGAAACGGAAAACAAAACCATTTCGGATCCATGTGGAGCATGGACATCTTCCCTAGTTCATATTCTAAAACCAGAAATGAAATTAAATCCATTTAATCAATTAAGGAACAATCCAGGAATAAAAAAGATCAAAAACAATAAAAACCTCAAGGACGTGTTTTAAACTTAACCATAACTTGAAGGGCCTAAAATGAAAAGTATTTTCCGGACATCAACAGAATTATGCTCCATCCACATACGCAATCCTTACCATTTTTGACATTCAACGCTTCGTCTTTGGTCTTTCCCATTCTCCATTGCCCTGCCGGAAGGCGCCAATCGATCCGAAACTACGAAAATGGCAATGCAAACCGGAGTTAGCACCTCCAAAGTTCTGATCCTCGTCGGAGCAGGTGCGTTTGTGTATATGCAAATTGCTTTACGAACCCTAGAACTTCGAGATTCGAAATCGTATGCTTATATTAGGGTAATCTTATTGAATGGTTGGAAATTTCTATGATCTGAAGCTAAAACTACGTTCCGTTGGTTATTGCTGCAAAATTTTGGTCTTTATCCTGATAACAAGTTCTGTTCCTCATGAATTACGCCCGAACATTTTACGTCTATTACTTATTGTTGAAAATTTTAGGGTTTATTGCTTGTAGAATGATTTTGTAGTTTTGTTTCCAGTTTGTACATGCTGTAATCCGTATCTTCTCTTTGCTGAATAGGTCTGACTAGTTCTGTTATCTTGAGAAGTGGAAAGCTTTCCGATGTAATATCAGAGCTTCAGGAGTTGATGAAAGGTGTTAATGAAGTTGAAATCACACCTGGAAAGTATGATAGTGCAGCTCTTGCAGCTCAGGTATTTGAAAACTACTAGAATTGAGAATTTGAGAATTCATTTATTATCTTTAACAAATTACTTCTCAAATAGTTTTCTCATCTCATTCTTGGCTTCACTTCAGATTCGACAATTGGCACAAGAGATTCGCGAGTTGTCCCTCTCACGTCCTGTTACAATCTTTAATGGAAATTCTACTTCTAGTGGTATGCCATTTTTGTCTAAAACTCCATTCTTATTCTTAGTTGTTCATATGATCAACATCTTTTTCATGAATATACAGGGGGTTACTCATCTTATTTGATGCCAGCTGCAGCCATTGGAGCAATGGGGTATTGTTATATGTGGTGGAAAGTAAGACTTCCAAATCTTCTTGAATCCACAAAATTACTTGATTCGATGTGTTTATTACTTTATTACTTTAACTTTTAAAATTTTTCAGGGTTTGTCTTTGTCAGATGTTATGTTTGTAACCAAGAACAATATGGCAAATGCTGTGTCCACAGTTTCAAAACAGTTAGAGAATGTATCCGATGCATTAGCTGTAAGTAAAACATCAAATCCATATATTTTATAATATTTTCTTTATAAAAGTTTTGCTTGTTATATTTGTGATTGGAATTAATACGCAGTCTACAAAGAGACATTTATCAAAGAGACTTGAAAACTTGGACTGGAAATTAGATGAACAGAAGGAAATAAGTACACTTATTTCAAACGATGTAAGTCCCCTACTTTATAATTTATATAAAATTAACTTTTTATCATAATTTTATACTTAAAAATGTTCATAATTTTACTCAGGTAAATGATGTAAGGTCAAATCTTAATCAAATAGGTTATGACATTGATATGATCCATCAAATGGTGGCTGGACTTGTAAGTTTCCCTTTTTTTTTTTTTTTTCATATTATTAATAAATGTGAAACTTCACTTCTTTGTTAATTACTAATTAGTGATGATTATTATAACAGGAAGGAAAAATAGACCTTATTGAAGGAAAACAGGTAGGAATTTCTATATATATATATATTTTTTTTAAATTGTGAATCTGTTTTAATTAAAATAATGTGTTTTTGCATAAAGGATGTGACAAATTCAGGGTTATACTATTTATGTCAAGTGGCTGGAGGGATTAAAGATGGGATAAATGCTAAGCTTTTTCAGGTCAGATATGGCAACATACTTTGATATATTATTTTTATTTTCATATTTTTATATTATTTTTATAATACACAAAATCAATGAACTTTGAATAGGATATTGAAGCTAAGCTTGGAGAACAATCAAAAATCACATTTGAGGACACTTCTTTAAAGGTTTGTTAAGTTCATATATTGTAAATTTATTATTTATAAAATATTAAAATTACATTGCTATTTCTTGTGTTTGACTTTTTTGTAAGTTTAATCTTTCAGGGACTTCAGTTTCTTACAGAATCAACTGATTTGGATCCAAAAAAGAATGCAATTTTGAATAAAACAAATACAAAAAAGGTGAAGAAAGATAATGAAAATAATTCGAAGTCAAGATTTCACAGGACATATCCAGTGGGGTTGTCATTTGCGAAAGATATGATTGGTTAAAGGGTTGTGAAATTATTTCATTTTTTTTGTTGTGATTTATAAATTTTGACAAAAAATATTGGTTAATAGTTATATGAAATGTGAATAAATAGCAAACATGGTGGTATGATCCGCTGCCTATGAAGTTTGAAATGTGAAATTGGAAATATAGATTGTAAAAATCTAAGAGGTTTTATGTGATTGGTTTTTTATTGATCGATATAAAATGGTTGTATTAAGTTGATAAAATTTGAGATGTGAAATTGTGTGTCCAAAAAACAAGAATAATTAGTCTGAAAAAAAAAATCAATTCAAATAATTTTGAATACCGTTTTAAGTAATAAATTACAGAAAAAGTTTCGACTTGGAAGTCTTTAAACAAACCATGCCGGTTTAAATAATTCCCCTTTCAAGAGTTTGTATTGAAGAAATCGTCTCCTGTTTCTGGTTTTCTGGAGATATAAAAAAAGACATTAAATTTCTCTTGATAAAATTTATGATTTTTGCAGTATATGAAAAACAGTTTACAATATACCAAAGAAAAATCGGAAGCAGATAATTTTTTTTTTTTTTTTTGCGAGGACCATACAAAAGACATGTCTTTCAAACTTTTTTTTTGTGCAACAAATAGTGATTTTATATTGAGTTTATTGTGAAATTTATCGAAAAAAGTTATATTGAAAAGTGGTTATATTTGTATTTTTCTCTATTAATGTCGTAATGGTAAATCGTCTCATATTGTTAGGTCATTTGTTATACTTTTACCGGTGCTGATGTCCATGTCGTGGTGAAGGGGGTGCCAATCTTTCTCTATTTCTCCCACAAATATGACCGTTGACCGGTCACTTTTATCAGGATTTAACTTTTTTTTTTCCTTTTACCTTTTATAATATATCTTTAAACTCTCACATTTTCCACAACCACTTTACTATTCTTACTATCTATTTCTAAAAATCGTTTACAAAATCATGAGCATTAAAAGATGGATTGATCTTTACCATCATCATGTGATGCTAAAACACTTTTTACATATGCACACACAAACCAGTTTGGGCATTTGGATCCGATCCGATCCGGAAATCGGATTTGGTCAAAACCAGTATTGACCGAACCGGTTCGGATTGAAACAGGTAACTGGATTGGAACCGGATTTGTATTTCGGACGTGGAATCGGATTGATCTTCGGATCAAGAATTGTTATCAAGAATGAAATAAAGCAAGAAAGAGATTGTAATGATATGTATTCATTGATTAACAAAGAAAGATACAAATACAACATATATACAAGAAGAAATAAGAACTTCAACTACTTAACTGATACATACTAATCAACTAACAAACTAACTAACAATGAACAATTAAATTACTAAATTGACCTTGATTAGTTCTAACAACCCCTCAATCTGGAGGGTGCAAAAGAAAACCCAGATTGTGAATAGCTTCTTGATGTTTTGTCCACGATAAAGACTTAGTAAAAACATCAGCAAGTTGATTGTTAGTTGATACATGAGATAGCTGAATGAGTCCTTCTTGTAGTTTTTCACGAACATAGTGGCAATCAATTTCAACATATTTGGTTCGCTCGTGGTAAACTGGATTCTTTGCAATATGAATAGCTGCTAGACTATCACATTTCAAAGGAATAAGTTGAAGATTCGAAACTTGAAGATCATGAAATATCCTTGTTATCCATGCTAACTCAACACAAATGCGTCTCATTGATCTATACTCGGCCTCTGCTGAAGATAAAGAAATGGTAATTTGTTTCTTTGATTTCCAATAGATAGGAGTGCCACCAAATAGAATAAAATAGCAACTAACAGATCTACGAGTAACTGGACAAGATGCCCAATCCAAGTCATAATATGCTTCGAGATTGAAAGTGGATTGATTGTTGAAGTGTAAGCCTTGATTGATTGTGCCTTTAAGGTATTTCAAAACATGTAAAGCATCTTCAAAATGACTTTTGGTAGGCCTTTGATTAAATTGGCTTAGATATTGAACAGTGAAGGATAGATCTGGTCTTGTATGAAGAAGATAGTTGAGTTTGCCAACTAGTTGTCTGTATTGAGTAACATCTTCTAACAATCCTTCTTCAGTAGAATGACCATTAAACTTTGATGAAAGTGGTGTAATGGTTGGATCACAATCACTCGTGGAGTATAAACTGAGAAGTTCCTTGATAAACTTTTGTTGATGAACAACCATACCAGAAGGAATGTGAGTAAATTCTAAGCCAAGAAAGTAACCA